TTGCTAAAAAAATCAAAAGTTTGCGTTCAAATCACACCTCAGGGCCAGATCTTGGAGTTTGGCAAGAAAATTCCTTCTCACTTTATCTGCCAGCCCTTGTTTCTCCATTTGATGAAAGCCAGTGTCGCGAACACAACCGTTGCCTTGTTCATGCCCGAAAAGAATTCTGGGTAATTCCGCCATAACTCGAAAAGGCAACTCCTATCATTTCCATTTCAAAGAATTATTAGAATCGTGTCGGGCCATCCAGTCCTACCAGCAAAATATCGCATCGATTGAAATTTTTACCGGTCAAAACTTGGCCACATAGCCTTGGTAGGTCCTGGAAGCCATCCACAGATGGGCCCGAGAGACAACTTCACTTGTGAACTCGCCAAGCTGGCAGTAAAGCATCGTTGGCGGTCCAGTCTACATGAAACCATCTCTCACCTCTGTTTTCCTTCAGAGGCTTGCCTCTACCCACATTCCAGCTTAATGATGCCGTCGTGAGGGTTTCTGTAGAGGGAAAATAGCTCGAAAAACACTTATAAACGGTCAGAAAAGCGAGAAACCGAATCGATTTGAACGCATCCAGACACGAGCTGTTGATGTAGGTCATGTGACCCCAAGGTCTGAGCCCATGGTGTCTCAAAACCGCAAATATTGTAAAGGATGATCCATATAAGGGCCAACGAAGTGAGGTTAAGTTTGTATCACCAAATTACAACTGAAAAAATATGGTCTTTTTCGTATTCAAAGGGTTAATGATTACCGTTCCTGATTTTTATAATCTATCAGAATGTAAAATCTCTTTCATAAAGGTTGGATTAATCAAGACACCTTTAGTCTGCACAGTCAGCTACTGCTGTTGTTCGGGATGAGTAGACTTGAACTGCTCTGGCAAATTAATGGATCGATCAATTCGAAACTTCGACAACCATTCCCCCCCTCCCCCCTTCAGCAACCTAAGGAATTTGACAGTCGTTTGTAACAACAACAAAAATTAAGTGATTTACAACAATTTTGATTATTGATTTACAATTTACAATTTTACAATTTCAATTTGAGAAGTGCCTACCCACAATTAGTTGAAAACTAGTCGAGGCGGGTAGGTATAATTAAGTTAGGCTTATCACTAGGTACTTACAAAGATTTCAAATTAGCAGCAGTTCAGTAGTTAAAATTACAATAAATAGTAAATTCTCAAAAAAGAAACAACAACTTTGAGTTTAAATTTACAAGACATGTTTCGACATTCTCATGTCATCTTCAG